GATGCAAAAGCGAATTTATATGCAAGATTGATATAGGGTAACAAAAATTGTGCCAGAACTCCTATTTTGTCTCTACTGAAGCCCCTAACTACATTAATATAAGATGCTATAATTAAACAAACAAGAAATTTTGTAAGCTTCAAGATGCATAATATAGTATATTCAATACCTTCTTTAAAACATATCATATTGATCCACTATAATTTTTTAATACTAACTCTAATAATATATTATGTCAGAACAAATATTAAAATAAAGTATTCTATACTCTATATCATATAGATCTAGTCATATTAATCAGCATAATTTAGAAATATTTTTGGCAACTGATTATACAGACTAATAGGATAAGAAGCTAATCCTATAAAAAATTTTTATATAGAAAATATACAAAACTTATATTGAATATATAGATTTTATATCAAACTGTTACAAAAATTCAATGAAAACTTAATATATTGAATCGATTTAAAACGTTAAGTTTTTGAGATTTTTGTATAAATTCTATATTTTTATATATATAGTCAATATATTTCTATATTTTTCTATATAATTATTTTTATTAGATAAATAAACTGTAAAAAGCTCATATTAAAAACTTATAATAAATAATTGCTACTCAAAGTAATTAGCTAGCTACCAAGATAGTGCATAAGTACTATGATTGATTGAAGCGATTCTTACTGTATTTTGCTAAAGATATATAATGCAAATGTAGATAAAAAATTTTAGTTAATCAGAACAAGTCTATAACAAAAAAATGTGGTTTTAGTTTTTTTTCATCATGATAAACTACATTCTACCAATTAAAAATGGATATTATTCAATTAATTAAATAAGAAAAGTCTAAAAATACTTTTTTGAAATATCATATGAAAATCTAACATTAAATAACAAAGAGTTTGTAGTTCAATTTTAGCCTACTAAAGATTTTTAGAGCTATTAATGCTTATATAGCTTTTTTAAATATTATATTACTTTAAAATTTTATTATTTTAGTAGCAATGTAATAAAATTTAATACTATATATCAAGTAATACTTTATCTCAAAAATAGTAACTTGATCTGTGGGTCTATTTTCTACTTAGGACACTTCTGGTAAAATTCTGTTTGATTAAATAAATGAAATACTTGTAATACATATAAATTCATATAAAAGTAGAGGACCTGAATTAGAAGACTCATTATAAAGTTGATAAATAAAATTGGTATCATTCAATATTCTAGATAATTACTATCTTTGGGTTTAAAAAAAAACCAAAAAAAAACAGTACCTTATTTTATATATACCATTGGTATTATTTTAATAGTAAAAATTTTTTATAAGTATATGAAATGTATCATTTACTACATGATGTCATTCCTAGTTGTTTTTTTGATATTTCTTATTGTAAAATCATATAAATTATATCTAACCCATCTTTTTGTAAAAAGATAAGTTAGACATTATATATATGATTTTAATAAGAAATATTAAAAAATCAAATAGCAAATGACATATTTCATAGTTTAATAATAAATAAATATTGTAGTTTTACTAATATTACAGTTTTACTAGTATTATATATACCGATGAAATTATTTCAGATTCTAAAACCTGAAATTAAAATTTAAAAATGAAATTGTTTTTGACATATTTTACTTAAAAAACGAAATTTTTTGATACTTTTTTGAATAGATAAAATTATAAAGAGTATAAATATATAAATTTTATTTGCTCTTTCTTATAAAAAATTTTAATTTGTTCTAATGGAGACAAAATAGGTTTTTTTTAAAAATCAATTTTGGTGGCATTACTAACTAGTATTACTAGTTTTACAAACATTACCAGTTTTACTACTATTATTAGTTTTACCAATATTACCAATTTCACCAACATTACTAGTTTTACCAATATTACCAATTTTACTAATACCACCAATTTCACCAACATCACTAATATCACCGTTTCACCAGTTTTACCATTTTGGCTATTATGGTGTACCAGTTTCACCTAGTAAAATTAATTAGTTTTACCTGCAACTCTATTCTTTACTTAGATTCTCTACCGGTCCCTTCTTTACTTTTAGCTGGCAACTCGGAAGAGTTGATTTGCTCAGGCTTTAGATGTCTGAAAGATACTCTCCTTTTGGTTCATATTTTTGGAGCATATGCCCTTTTCCTCCAGTGTGACAACCTGACGGTTCAGCTGGTATATTCTCTGCTATAAAACCTGATCGCTTGGTTTTCCGATCTCAGACCCCAGTTCGAATTCAGCTCTCCTGTGATACTATCAAAAATTACTGTTATATTCAAATTCAGGACTTTCCAAATGGGTTTTCGGTTATGCCGGTTTCTTAAATTTATTGTGCCAAAGCTCTCATTACTAGATAGTATGATTGAAGTTACAGATTTAGTTCTAGATCCAACCAATAAGCATAGCTATCAACCAAACACAGGCCTATTTTTCAAATATTATTACTAGTGGGATTTAAACTCTAGATCTGCCACTTAGAGAGGGTAATGACTAGACTACTATACTAAGTTGCTACACCTCTGCTAGTTGTATTTTTATTACAATTGTAATATTAACTATTACTTAATAAAAAATTACTAATCAAGAGATTACCTTAATAGTAAAAATATATATATATATTTTTATAAAGAAAAAATTTAAATAGTACACTAGTGCACTAAGTGCACCTCTGTTTTTTAATAGCAAATAAGCATCTAATATTAAGACAAAGTTAAGAGCTAGTGTTAAGGTTAGGTTAGGGTTAGGATTAGAGTTAGGATTAGAGTTAGGGTAAAATTGTAAGGGGAGATTTTTACTTAGTTACACAACAGGGTTCTCTTAGTAAAATTTTGAGATACTGGGGGTGCACTCAGTGCACAGTACACCATATAACAAAATCCTTTATAAAAATTTTTAATTTAGGGTGCTAACAGAAAAGAGCTCATATATACCCAACCCCATTTTACCCATACCCCTCTTTACCCCCTTTACCTCTTTTACCTCCCCTCTTGGGGTAAAAGAGGTAAAGAGGGGGTGGGGGTATATATAAGCTCAGCTCAGCTCCCTTATATAAATTTTGTTTTAATTATTACAATAACATAGTTATATCTTTTATATTAAATAATCCGATATGTATCCGGTTTTAGTAAAGGATAGAATACATATCGGGGTTTTCTACGATTACGCGATATGAGTATGATATGCATCCAAAGACAGGTATCATATTTGCGCCAAGTTTCGGTAAATTATAAGACTGAATTGTCATACTGTTATAGGATACTTATCAGAGACCTATCAAGTACCCGAGATTGATTTATATTTAGAACAGTTATCGATAAAAGGTAGATTTTCGGCGAAATAGTTGTCGAAGAACGTTATCAGGAAGATTAATTTCGAATTTTGATTGAAAATACCGTATTACAAACTAACATTAATATATATAAGTTATGTATCTTCATAATTTTGGCTCCAAAAGAGGTCAATAGGATATCAATACGTAGTCAACAATCGAAATAATATTATCAATAAGATATCAATAGGACATTATCCTATTGATATTGATAATATTATTTCGATTGATATCCTTTTGACCTCTTTTGTCAGCGATACGATAGGGATCTATTGGTACCTATTGCATTCCTATTGAACTTAATTTTATTTGTGTACTTAAAATACAAATTATAATACAAGTATAGTAGTATGGTGTTAAGTAGCCTATACTTATCACACGTGATTTCTTCGAACGTTAAAACTTTTCTTATTAAAAAACTTAACTGGTAAATTTATAAAGCAATATCAGTTTATAAATAGTTTTTTTTTAAAGATAAGAAGTTGCAACAAATTCTGCAATTGGAGGTTTATTAGTCAGACATAGTCATACCGACTTAAAAACTTATCAACTCACTTGCAGAACAGTCACGGTTGATCCCACCTACATAACGTCTCAGATTTTATCATGTGATATTAAAATTTAAAATTAACGTTAATACGTAGCACCAACCACTTGTAAATCATGATTATTTATTTATACGTATATATATCGATATTAAATTATATAAATTGGTTTTAAACTAAAAATATTGCCTACCTATTTTAGCTTTTTACATAACGACAGAAAGAAATTTTGTACATAATTATAATACGTAAATAAGCATAAAAGTGATATTAACGTCCTAATTATCCATTATATAAATGCAAGTAATATAAACTCGCTAATTCTATTATATGATGAGATGTATAATACAAGCCAGAAAAAAATTGTAGGTTTTAAAATCATGTTCTAAAATATCAAATATATAACAATAAAGAAATTTTGATAAATGATTTTTATGCATACTAAATATAACCCTCCCAAAAAAAATAAACGGCCAACTCGATCAAGAATCCTGAATAAACCCAACCGACTTTTTTGTTCTAGTTGAAAATTCAATTCATTTTTTCTTTGAATTTATTGTATCAAGTTTTACGTAATAATGGGGGATTCATCTTTTACATCAATAGCCAAAGAATCTTGAAATGAGCTGCCACCATATAATGAACGATATTCGAAGATGCTATCTGTGGAATATTTTTTATGATCACTATATTTCTGCTGGGATTTGTGTTTTATCTCTTTATCCAACTCATAAAGGTTCCGTATTTTATTATCATACGTATTATTTGAATACCACGACCCATCTAAAAAAAAAAAAAAAAGGTTGATTAACGTTAATATAGTAATATAAGTTTGAATTTACTTGATCGTCGATACTACGCTCACGTGACTATACGATATCAATTAAGTAAACCATAGTTTTTCGACACAACTTAGTGTTTATCACGTTAACGGAAAATCGATTCAAGTTCCTGTCAAATTCTGATAGTCTTATCGTTATTTAGTCCATACCTGTATCATCATCATCAGTCCAAATACCACCTTTTCTATGTTCTTTAGACTCTAAAATATAGTGTCTTGCATGAGAATCGTAATATCACTTACATCCAAGATAAGAAAAGTTAAATTTAATTACCTGCTTTGTTCAGTGAACCTTCTAATCTTCTTGATGAAGCTGAAGATCTAATCGATTCTGAAATACTTGATACTCGTCCATTTCTATTTTCATTAGCATCTAGTTCTGTTGTATGTTTAATATAATAATAAAAATTTGTCTTAAATGAAAATCTTATTAACTATAACGTTTAATAAAAATAATATGGTTTTGACATTACTTTTTGTATCGATTAGAGCAAACGAGTTCACTTCTTTATCTATTTCCAATGTGGTAAAGTAATAATCGTTATATTCTTTAATTACATCTATATTTCTCAGGACCAATTCTCTGTCATCAGATATTTGTTCTAAAGCCTGTAAATCTACAAACTTATAAAAGTATTGCTGAAAGTCCATGCTCATTTGTCGATAAAATCGTGCCTGTATTTTAATTAATTCTTGCACAATAATATCATAATATTCCGTCATGAACACGAAGAACGTGGGTAATTCTTCGCGCAATTGTTCCGAAATGGACACGAAAGCATCTGCAGATTGTTGGAGCGATTTTTCAGGCTGGATATGGAAAATTATAATTTTAAACAAAGGAAATCCTGATGAAAATAACCTTGAAAATCTTGGAGATTTAATATACTTACTGTTTCACCTTTTATTTTCAATAGATTGACATGACAATAGTCAAAAAGCTTTCGTTCACGTTTCTTCATTACAGCTGCAGGAGCCTTAAAAAGCGATAAGAATTTCTCAATTTGAGGAAATAGCACTTTTTTAATTGCTTCCTCCTATTGTATTTCACATTAATCAGTATTTCATTAAATATCGATAAGAGTTTATGGAAATGAGCAACATACCATTTCTTTCCCACAAGAAGATTCCAGGCCTTTAATAGCCTTTCCGTATTCAATGATCTCCACAAATTCATCTGAAATTTTATTTGAAGATGTCCCTAGCATATGAAAATCTTCTATTGCGGCTGCTAATCGTCGTTGGTCTTCAAAAAATGCTAAATTTATTAAGAACAATAATGTCAACGTTATAAAATGTATGCAGAGAAACTTTTATAATTAACTTGTGATGGTAAATTGGTACTTACATTTAATAGATTTAACCCAGCTCTTTATTTCCTTCGCTAATTGAACTCCTCGCTGTTCCAAATATTTAAACTTTTCTACATAAGCATTGTAAAGTTCATCTTCTGCAGACTTTATATCACTACGTGTCTATCAATATCATTATTCCGAGATTAATACTTTCTTGTCAAAAATTGTCAAGTCATACTTCTTTTAATAGAATAGTAGATAATAATGCAGATGCCTCCTACCAAGTTTCTTTTTATTTTTTTCTTAATACCATGTCTAAAATAACGTAATAATCTTATTAATAATGAATAATGATGAGAGTAAAAATAAACCTTGTATATAAATCACTTACACAAACTATTTAATTCATAAGTTCGATGATATTATATTATTGCAGTTAAATTTTAGTCAATGGCTTTTTTTAAATTTTTAATTAAATCATCACAAAAAATGTAAATATACTAACGTAGGAATGTTTTTTATTGCCTACAATTTTTTCGACTATATCTTTGCGTTTCTTTATTTCATTAATTCGTTCAGCAACTTTTGTAATTTCTGATAAAGAAAATTGAAGTTGCTCATAGTCTGGATGAGAGGGTTTCGTAAGTGATAAAATTTGCTGCAAAAATAAATAAAAGTTAATGAAAATCTAAAATTTAAAATTCACAAATTCATACAATTACAATGAAAGATTTTTTCTCACTTGCAACAGCAGCGGATATTTTAATACACGTTGTACTGGTTTTATTAAAAGACTTGTGATATCCCAACTTGTTGTTCGGCCATTGCATTGACTCTTACATTTCTTGTAGATAGAATGAAAAAAAGAAAGTTAATAGAGGAACAATTACGGTGCGTAATTAAAGAAAAGAGAAATTTATAATAACCTGTAAAAATCCTTGAACATTTTCATCATTATCAAACTCTCGAAGTTTCTGAACGGCAGTCTCGTGTCGTTTACAATATTCCCCATAGACCTTTTCCAGCCTACTATCACTTTGTTCTTTTCTCATCTATTTAAGTAGATACAGTATGAAATCAAATGTAAAATGGGTACAAAAAAGGATAGCAAAATATACATTATATATGTAAGTTATATTTGTACCATTTGTGCAAACACGTCGCCGATATATGTTTCATCATTTTCTAACTTGCAATGTTTTTCAATATCATTACTTGAACCTTCAATTCCACTAGCAGCAAGCAATAAATTTAGAAAATCCTCAGAAAATCTTATTATATCCGGAAGATTACTAAATATTGTTTTACAATCATATTGGTCAAAAATAGGAATATCTCGTGCTTGTATATAATAAACCTTGGGAAAAAAATACAAAATGTGAGGTTAATAAAAATCAAGAAAGCCAGCAAGCCTACAATTTATTCCAATTTATAATAATTTACCTCTTCCAAAAGTTTCATATCTTGTAAATAAGCTTTCTCAGTTTCTATCAACTCTTTTATGACATTCCACAATTTTTTACGCTTCTTTAGATCATCCTCCTCAACAGAAGAAACTTCATTCAACGAATTTTGAATAATAGGTTCACTCTTAGATCTATTATGATTTATATCTGATTGAGAAAACACGACTTTTGAAAGTGGAGATGGTGGGTGGGTTTTTGAGTAAGAATCCCTGCTATGTATTAAAGTTGAAGATGGCACAGAAAATAAACTTTCAACACTGTCTCTTTTTGGTGTAGTAACAGGAGGAGGAATCTTTTTTGAATAAGAAATTCTGTTCTGTATTAAAGTTGAAGATGGCACAGAAAGTACACTGTCTCTTTTTGGTGTAGTAACAGGAGGAGGAATCTTTTTTGAATAAGAAACTCTGTTCTGTATTAAAGTCGAAGATGATGTAGAAGGTAAACTTTTAGCACTGTCTCTTTTTGGTTTAGAAATAGGAGGACTCTTTTTTAAATAAGAATTCCTGTTCAGTATTAAAGCTGAAGAAGATACAGAGGATAAACTTTTAACACTGTCTCTTTTTGGAGTAACTGTAAGAGAAACAGGAGGACTATTTTTTGAAAGTTGAGCATTATTATATAAATGACTTTTTACGTTTCGAACAGGGGATTTATTAGTTGAAGAATTTGATATCGATTTCTTTGGTGTAATTCTTGAACCTCTCCTTGAAATATCAGAATCGCTAATTTTCTCTAACGGACGATGGACAAGATTGACATTATCCAAGTTCGATTTAAATGTTGAAGAAGGTATAATAGAGACACTTGATCTTTCACGTGGTTTAACATCAATATTAGGAATGCTGCTTGTACGTCTAGGTATGCTAGTTAAGCTAGTTAATGTGGTTGGCCTTTTAGCAGGATTTTTCGAAGATGATTTGTTGGTTATTACAAGAACCTTTTTAATCACCGAAGTAAACTTAGTTAGAAATAATGATAAACAAAAAAAAATAATAAATAATTTTCAACATAAAGTTAATAAACTCACCACCCCATCATCTTCATCAATCTGTTCTATATTATCGAACGAAGATTCATTAACATTTTTCGTTTTTACGTTCGGAAAATTATTACGTGATGCTGACTTTTTCTTAATAGATTTTTTTGCAGGTAATTTTGGTGATGCAGTAACATATGACTCGATGGTTGGTTGACTTTCTATGATTTTAGAGTCACTAGAATCACCAGATATTAAAGATGAATTATTATTTGGTCGGTTAGACGGAATAGAAGGGGGATTCGGTTCACAATCAATTTTATTCGAAGGAGAAGCAGAGTGTTTAGGCTGTTTGAGCTTTGAAGTAGTTGGAGTTTTAACTTTTTGAACAACTTTTTGTGTTGCCTTACGAGGTGTCCCATATCTATGTGTACTTTTATCCATCGCTTTTTTTTTGTACATTACCAACACGAAAAAATTATATAAGATATATATCGAAAATAACATTCTGCAAACACAACTCTTAACTAATAAATAGTACATAATTACCGTATATATACATTCAAATAATTTGAATTTTAAGAACTTTATCGTAAAAGAATACGTAAGGAAATTCAATTCTGTAATTTATTATTATTATAATTATTATTATTAAATTTTATCAGTTGTATAATAAGAACGCAGTAATTATTCAAAACATTTTATCTAATAATTACAAGAAGAAAATTTATCGAACGTACCAAATTACAATCTGTTAGAATTAGAAAAAAAGTTCGGAAACAATAAAATATTTTCAACTATGGATCTAATGAAATCGAAGAAAATAATTCACGAAATTTTATTATCTTTATAATTGCGATAACATCCATTCGTACGTAACTGTTAAGAATTCGGTAAGCTAAACTAACTTGGAATGTGAATCGTATTTATAAATAAATCGATCTGCAGCCGTACTACCTTAGGAAGTCACGCGAGTGTTGAATTTATGCGCTTAACGCATATATTCACATACAATATATCGTAAAATGTCACCTTTTAATTTATCTGTTATATCTGCTATGTGCTGTAAGTACTGAAGTACGTACTTACGTACGTACGTAAAATACACTACAGTACATCATTACATGCGCTTTTTTGCACGTTAAATATGCCATTATTATTATCTGTTATGCGAAATATATATCAAATTATATAAGATACGCATCCCTTACTACTAGGATACTATTAGAATTTATTATCTTTCACATCTGGCATGTGATAATCTCATATCGATATTGGATGATATAATCAAGGGATTGTAATAGTCAGAATTATGATCTAATCCAATCCTAGATAACATACTATTTAAAGCTATACGTAACAAAAAATATTTGTCGTTAAAAATACATTACACTTTTTAGTGAAAGATATTTATACTAAATTGAGTAATTATTAAACCATTTTTAAAATCTAGCTGTTTTTAATTTAAGCGTCAATTTTTTGGACGAGTTGAACTAAAATTAAAACAAACGAAACTAACAAAACTTTAATGCATGCAGCTGATCATAATAATTGAATGCTATTGGTCAAAATATTTATAGGTTATGGATTTTATAGGAGATTATTCGAGGGAGCAGATCAATAAGAGAGGGATGACGTTAAACTTTAATTGGCACTATCAATTTTTTCTCCCAAGTTTTGATCTTTATTTGATTAACAGTTAAACTTTTGAGATTACTCGATATTAATTAAAATTGGCCAACATAACGATAAAAGTTCATGTAGTTGATTGGATAGGTTATCAATGGCACGCGCAGCACATGGTAATATTCCTTGCAAACACCAACATGAAACATATTAACCGAAATTACATTACAAATATTACATTACAAATAAAATTTGGATCATTATTGGTAAGAAAGCTTTGTTACCCGTCAATGCTAATTAATGCATGGTGACTCACGTGTTCTAATTTCTTTTGTATTCATTTAATTACTGTATGTAAAATTACGTATAACTTATATGTAGTAAAAATAATACTAAATTATTTGTCATTATACTGCTATGTGATAATACATAATATTGATCCTATACCCTGCAAAATCTATACAAAATTGTCTGATCGACAATCAAAGATTCGCGAAAACGTTATCACGCACAATAATGGCCATTTATTCATTCAATTCTTTTTTAGATGCCATCAATTTATGAAAGGCAATCTATCTTTATCTTTGCTCTTTAAAAGTAAACCAATTACTTACCGGATTCGGTCAATCTAATTTTTAAGAATTGTGTCCGATAAATTATAAATTATAAATTTAACAAGTTTCCCCTTGATGGCACCCATATGCTAAAATTCTGCAGGTACTATTTAGCCAATTGACCTTTTTATTTATCGTTATTTATTTTTATTATTTTTATTTTTTTATTTTTTTAATTAAGTTATTATAAAAAAAAATAATACAGAAGGGTTCTTTAAACGAACCTTCTATAAATATACTGCCTATATAAGTTCTCCTAAGATGCACGGACTATAAATGCACAGTTTAAATAAATTTCTTAATTGAATGTACTGGCTCGGCTCGGACCCTCTATATATGGTCCCACTTAGTGTATTGTATGATATACTATTTAATTAATTGTATTATTTAAATTTTTCTGATGGTCTTTCTCGTTTGTTCGTGCCTTCCAAGCCTCCACCCATTCTTCAATCCTCGTAACATTACTTTGCATGTCCTCTATATTATTACTTTGTAGCTCAACCACGATTTCTGCTGCATATGACTCTTTCGCTTCTTCTAATATCACTTGAAATATTTCGCTATCAATATTTTCCGTGATTTTTATTTGTGAATAACCTCTAATTATTTAATAATAAATATAATTTATTCTAGTCAAAATTGGTTTTCATTAAAGTTTGTGTAATCTGTATCTAAATTAATTTACCTTACCTATCTTTTAATCGATCATACAGTATCGTATTATCAGTTCTTAATACTAGAACTAAATCAAACCAACGTTCGGGAAACACTTCACATGAATGAAAATCAACTATATTTCCTCCACTTGATAATGTTTCTTCTAATTCATCTACAAGCTAATAATAATCTCGTTCGGGTTTTTATTTTATAAAATATTTCTTTTTTTTTCTACTTCTAATTTCATATTACCTTATCATCATCTAAAATCCAGCTTTGAAAGTCTTGATCATAACCTTGGTGCAATGATTTTTCTTTAACTAATACACCTACATTTATGTGATGTAAGCCCGTTGATTCCGAGGCTAGCTGGCTTAGAGTTGTTTTGCCAGTTCCTGGAGTACCAGTTACAAGAAAGAATGTTTGGTGTTTGGCTAAGAAAATTCGCTGCAATTACAAATAATTACATAATTATACAAATTGACTGATCAAAAGTTTTATATAATACCGCTCTGTATACGCTTGTTCCGGATCTAAAGAATTATTCATCTTGAATTCGTTGACACTTCATGACAAAAAAAAATCAAAAGATCGCTGATAAAATTTTATTTTCACGTGATTGTGCATGCGTATTAGAAAAGAGTGTAAAGTAGTACGGTACGGAAACACAAATTAGGACATGAGTTTTTAAAACCGATCATAATCAATTATACTTTCATTTTTTTCGGCCATTCGACTATTTACATAGCTGTCAACAATTTTTTCAAAGGTTTGAAACGAAAAAATTGAATGACTAATAAAGCATTTGAAGCCATTTTGCAAAAAAAATAATAAAATTTTTTTCTTTTATTAAACATACTTTAAATTTGATGTATGTACATTACATTTAATCAGTATAAAATTTAAATTCACGTATGTCAATTATTAATTGACGGAAATTTGAAAGTGATGTCTAATATATTAACCGTATATACGATCAAAATTTAGTATAATTTTTGTACGTCCGTCTGAATCTATACTGCCGTACAGTACTACTTTACTGAATACCTGGTGATTTTTCCCCGGTTAAAATTAGCAATTTCCTAATAAAAAAACTTCAATTATTTTTCAAAACCTCATAATTCTTTTGTTAGATTGATTTACATGGTTTTGGTGGTGATACTAGGTGTATTATAAACCCGGTTTTAATGTATTCCCAAATTTTTATAACATATGGGTAGAGACTGGACTCATCAACTCGAAACTCGAATCATGACTCAAGTTACTCAAGAATTAAATATATTTAGTTTAATTTACAACATTTTTCAATAAATTTCGTGGCTCGAATGACTCGAGTACTCGAGTTCAATCATTAATTAAAATATTAATACTTGAGTAACTCGAGTCAGAATTCGAGTTTCGAGTTGACGAGTTCAGTCTCTATGGGTATTAGAAAATGATCTATTAGCTATATATACTATAAGTTGCCACATAAACCACCCTTTTATAGAAGACCCCTTCTATAGACCTGGGTCTGTTGCTTGGATTCAGTGAAAGGTAAAAAAGTAAGATCTGGGTCTATTATGTGGTCACATATTATACTCGTATTATATACCTGTTTAGGTTTGCTTGGTTTTAATTGGTTAATTATCTTTATACCACCCCTTATAGTAGTAAACTCTCCTCTGTACAGGGTGGTTTATGTGGCAATTATGCATATTATAACCAGGTTAACAGGAACTGTTGTGAGTTCAAAGCTTAACATAAAATAAATGTTGCAGCTAATGCTGGAAATTTTAATTATTTTAATATGAAAGTTTTAAAAATTTTTGGGGCCTTTTGTTAGGAGGTTTTTTTTAGGGTTGGGTTAGGGTTTAGTGGTAGTTTTAATAATAAAAGAGTATAAGTAGGTTTTGGTAGGGTTTTTATTTTTAAATCAAGGTCCCTAATTTCCAGCATCAGCTGTTTCTAGCTTCAGCCGTGACAATAAATGAAATCTGTAATTGAGTAAAAAAATTACTATAATAGTGATATAAAAAGTATATATAAAATAAAGATGTAAGAAGTATAAAAAAAAAATCGCAGATCTGATCTAATTATCAGCCAATAAAAATAATTTTACATGCTGGACAGATATTTTTCAAATTAAAGGTCTAGTATTAAACATACAGCCAATTACAACAAAGGCATGTGCTAAACAGACAGATATTTTTCAAGTCAAAGATTTAGTATGAGGCATAATAGTCAATAAAAAAGACACATAATAGACAGATAGATATTTTACAAGTCTAAGGTCTAGTACGGAAAAAAAAACAAATAACTGCCAATCAAAGAAAAGGCATGTGTTAAACAGACAAAAGTCCTTACTGCATTTCAGACAAAAACATAGGAAAGGCACAGGTTTATTTAAAATAATCTATCTTAGTATATAACTTTAGTAGATATTCAAAATATAATAGTATAGTTAAAAACACCTAATAATAAAATTTTTTGATTATTATAAAATTTGTAAACTTGCACTTTTACCAATGTGCCTTAATTTTTTTTTTTTTTTTATATCTTTGGCAA